ACAAATAGCACCTCAGATTCAAAGCCTTACAATCCAGATGGACCAAAAATGTGACGACCACTGTACTAGCTGTGAGCACAATTATTATGGGAAAATGTAAATCCGACTAACACATGTGTCAAAGATTAGAACGCATACAGAAATGTACTGTAATTAGCAGACAAAAAGGTGTTGTTTTGACAAGTTGTTATAAACCACAAAACAGGAAAGGTAGTATTCTGCCACCTCAATTCCTTTCTGTTGGGCGTATGGGCGGTCGATATAAATAAATCCGTCAAAGGGTTGAGTGAATTACAACGTAAACAAACCGCGGTACTGACATGTTAGAGACCGGCTCCTGCACGCCCTGCCGGATCCCACCGAAAAATCAGCAAAGTTCGGAGGTTTGCCGGGTGCAGAATCACATCGAAGTCAGGGTGGTTTCTGATGCATGGGTGGTCTGTACCGACGTTCTTTTCAGTGTCTGTCAGCTCTGGCAGGTCGTGACAACAAACACTCTCCCGTACAGAGGGCATTTCCAGGCAGTTTCTATTGTCTTCGTTTCCACACCGGCACCAGTCCCGGTTGCCCAACCTCCAACGCTCTGTCTCCACATCACCGCCATCCCAAACGTTGTCATCGCCTGGATCGGGCTCAGAGTCGCCACTACTGTCAGTTTGTGGTTCAAATCGGAAGGGTTGCACGCCCGCCATTGTTGTTTACGCTAGTAGCAGAATCAAACCTTTTACGTCACAGATTCAGTCGCAGCGCCGCCTAGCGGACAATCTGGCGCTAGCCGCGAAACATCGCTCGGGTCAGATATCACGGCAAATATGTGCGGGGTTGGCAGAAACCAATAAATCACCATTTACAAATAGGATTTTGGGTAGAAAGGCCCCAAAACTGAAAGTATTGGACTTCCCCTTTAAGCGAGCACACATGAAATCAAGAGGTCGATTCTTTACATTCCGGGCTAGACATTGTGTCCTTGGGAAAGCCACTTAACACGACTTTCCTCACTCCACCCAGGTGTAAAATGGGTACCTGACTTTGGTTGGGAAGGTAAAAGGCAGTGGAAGGAGAGGGATGGGCTCCACCTTCCCATATTGTGCCCCAGACACAGTGGACTAACAACCCACTGTCCCTACAGCCTCAAAAAGGCTATGGGACTACCTGTACTTAAGTTTTCAACAAATAACACCCGAGTTACGATTGACAACAATTCAAAAATCATACGACTGACACAAACTTACGCCCCCCTCCCCACCATCTCTCCAACTTTTGCCAAGTCTACACGGTTCTACCCATTGACAAACTAACACGCAAAAAGGATATGTTTCGGTTCCTTGGCGAGAGATATCTTCAGCCTCATGTCTGTAAGTCCCGTGAATATCTCAGTGCCAGCAGAAGTTGTTATTAAAATAAAAACCAGGCGATGTCCGAAGAAAAATACACTCAAACAACCGCGCTCTGGGAAATATCCTGGAATGTGCCGCAACTCTCGCCAAATCACGCCGACTCTCGTTTCGCTCCAAACGAGATATGCCCGTTTTTTCTTCTTTCTAACCTAAAACCTATCTTATTCTACCTCAAAATCAATATAACGATTATTTTCACGAGATTGAACCAATTTATTTGATATATAAATGACAAAAACAGGAGTAAAACAGTTTTAACGTTCTTGCCTTGTCATGTGACCTGAAATTCTATAAGGTCGAAGGTCGTAGCCTATAAACAATGGCCCAGGCGACCGGCTGATCAGTTTTCACAAAAACACGCCAAATTTTCTCACTTTTGTCGTTTTTCCGGGATGACCAGAGAAATGGTGGGTATTTTATGATGTTATGTTGGTTGTTAAGGTGTTAGTTGTGGTGCCGTTTCCCGCGCAAAGGCCGCAAAACGCCGTTGCTATGGAAAAGTTAACTTGGAAGAGAAACTGTCATGGCGAATTTCGACCGACTTCTGGTCTAGTCTTTCATGATCATGTCAGTATAAATAGAAACTAGAAATGATAAAATACGACGTTTCGATTAGTTCAAGGACTTGGAAAACAACAAGATCTGTGTAGAATGTGCTTTTGGTGTTGTTGCACAAAAATACTGTATAGTCAGGTCCAAAATTGTGAAGAGACAGCAAATGTAACTTACTAGTACTTTGGGGAGGGGGGCGTGTTTGCAAACCATAATTGCTAAGTAGGAGATTTTTAGATAATAAGAAAACAACCTTGCCAATAGTAAAGCGCGTTCAAAGTTGAAGAGTTGTGTATGGAATGGACTGTCAAAGCATTTTAAACATGATTATTCCATATCCTGAATATTCAGTCTAACTCTAAACATTGTCAAGTTAGTTGTAAACCAAAGTTTTACAAAGTTAAATGACTATACTTCGATAAGTAATGTACTGTCAAAAGCACGTCAGCAGAACATACTGCACCTGCGCGAAATCCGTAATGTATTGTGCATACGTAGCACTTTGGCAGAACGTCTCATAGTCGTATAAGGTTGTATTTGTGCATATAAGGTTAACATCCCGTCTGTAGTTTCCAAATGTTATGTTGGAAAAACTTATCGTCTGCAACAGGCAAAATTCAGCAACGTTGATCAAAAATCAACCAAAACCTTAAAAAATCTGGGTTTTGTGCAAGCGCAGTACATTCTGGTTCCGGGTCGGAGTTTAATTCTGACCAGGGTTCCAAATAGTGCGCAGTAAATCACCGGATCTGCGAGGTTGTCACGCTAGGTTTGGCTCCCCATAGCTCGGCGATCGCTGTAGATTTTCAACTAGGTTTTGAATCGATCAAAAAGCCTTGGGATTGTAGTGTTTTTCAGCGCGGTGAAGTTGGACGGCCAGCGAAGCGTTTTTGGTATTAGTCCGCGAGCAAGGGTGATGCGGTTTGTCGCCTGATGACCCAAATAGCTGCGTTCTATGTGGAATTTTTAGGGGTTCGCGTCACCGGATTTTGCGAAAAACTTATCGCAACAACCTATATTTTTTTCTGTTTTTCAGAAACAGAAAGTAGTAAGCTATTTCAGCATATAAGCCGTTAGCCTGGGAAAATTCGTTTTTTCCAAGCAGGTCCGTTGAAAAAACTGCAAAAAAACTACATTTTTCGTATCCAAAATTTACGTTTAACTACAGTTTCTACCCAAATTATAGAGTCGACGGACAATAACCAAAATTGTATCGGAAGCCGGCTGGAAACCTCTATTGACTGATGTAATGAGATTTCCCGGCGTACTTTTTTTGGCGGAGTTATGGCCCTTCGGTCTGAGGGTGTCCGCCGGATCCAAAATCGTGAAAAAAACTCCGGTCCGAGACCTTCTGCTGATGTGCTAGTTTGCATCATAATGATATATTTATGATTCTTTCTCCCCCTTTCTTAGAGTGCCAAAGAGCAGAATGGCCCAGAGGGGGGCAGTCCACAGAACGGAACAGTCCACAGTATCAGTCCCGGCCCCAGAGGGAGTAAGATCAGTATAAAGATCCCCAGCGAACATGCTTATCAACAGACAGAGACACAAACAGACGAGTTTCTGATGGGTCCCAGGCCTGGATCTGTGGCCGAGGATGAGTATGTGTTTGTTTGTGTGTTTGTGTGTGTGTTCGTAAACAATGTGTCAGACCTAGTGTATCCAGAACTGTGCTCAGGCACAGTTCTGGATAGTCCATGGGTGAGTTATATCCAGATACGCAGAGACTATCCAGAATTGTTCCTGATCCTATCCCCGGTAGTAACCCATTCAGGCATAGAACTAAAAGGACACGGTTCTGGATACGATAGAGACTATCCAAAACTGTGCCTCATCCTAACCCTAACCCAATATTCTGTCATAGAACTAGATAGACACAGTTCTGGGTATGATAGTACCCTTTTTTGGGGGAAGGCCCACAGCAGTGTAATATTAGATACTACTGTTAAGGACATTGAGGTTTATTGAGGAAAAGCTCTCCTTTAGCTGCCCACCCCAGGGTGGCAGATTTTCTTCCAGGAGAGGGTACATAAGACATAACAATACATCACATACAAATTACAATTACATATACATGTACATGTACATTTACATTAAATAGTACTGAACCATAGAAACATTCTTTAAGACATTTTTGTATTTTTTGCAGGATCATCAAAATGACGGCGACACGAGTGATCGAGCGTGCCTGGCTGTCTTACCGGGACAGACAGATGTTTAAACTTCTCAAACATGCTGTCTGTGCAGCTGTTAGTGTTTGGATTCTTATTCTTTAAGAGTTGTCTACTGTATACTGCCTATATATATATATGTGTATTCAAACGTCTTCACATAGCAGACTTTACACTTTATAAAAGCTGCAGCACTTTCATTAATATTCTTAAAGTCTTTAAAACTGAGTCAGTCTTTGTGTGTAAGTAGCCAGATATAATATACTTTGTTTTGAATGAGTATACAGCCTCAAAAGAAACGTTATGACAAAGTGCTATGCCCAATACATTTTGAGTTTTTTGCAGGCAGCACAGTACATTTGCAGTACGTTCACAGCATGTTCTGCCGATGTGCTCACCTAACGTACACTTGTCTCTGACAGGAACACTGCCTGTCGTTTGAGATCCTGAGAAAAGTCAGCCCCATGGAGGCCAACCTGCTCAAGGACCCCAGCTTCCAGGTCAGGGTCAGGTTCAGGTCAGTAACCTCATGTAACCTCTGGTCAGGGTCAGGTCAGTAACCTCATGTAACCTCTGGTCAGGGTCAGGTCAGTAACCTCATGTAACCTCTGGTCAGGGTCAGGGTCAGGTCTGTAACCTCATGTAACCTCTGGTCAGGGTCAGGTTCAGGTCAGTAACCTCATGTAACCTCTGGTCAGGGTCAGGGTCAGGTCAGTAACCTCATGTAACCTCTGGTCAGGTTCAGGTCAGTAACCTTGTGTAACCTCTGGTCACGTCATACATGCCAGCTAGGTGTGGAGTATTTGGTAAACCGTGATGAATTTATCTTGATCGCATTTGTATTTTTTTTTACCTCCGGGGAAGGAGATATCCTTCCGCGAGGAGGTTTTACTATGGTTCGAAACATTTCTGTCAGCAGCTGTTTCTCGCGATCGGCTGGACGGATTTGTCTGTGGTTCGGTCTACGTATTGCTATTGGGCTGCAGATGATGCAGAACGTTTTTGTTTAATTGCATATGTGTTCATGGGCATCGAAATAAAAGGTTTTTAAGTGCTCCGGACACCCCCGCCATGCTGAAAATGGTAATTACCATGTTGTTAAGGAATGGGGCGGTTGCAGTTTTGGGTCTTAGCATTCAAAAGGGGTCAAACAGAGGGGTGTCTGGTTCCGATAAAAATTTTGGGTGACGGCGCAGCAATGACGGCGCGGGATGACGGCGGGGGTAATGGCTCGGGTGACGGTGCAGGCTGTCAGACTGTGAGACACGTTAATCAACAGTCCATACCGAACCAACCGTCAGTAGCCATCAAACACATACAAACATATTACGCACATAACTTTCATACTACACACAAACAAATAACCTAAACCAATAGAACACAAAAAAAAACCGGAGGTTTGAAATCTACGATTTCCCTTGTTTTAATTTTAACTGTTGTTTGAAGATTGAAAATGATATTTGGAAATGTCCAGTGAATTTGGCTGTCAAATATATGAAAATTATGATATGTAAATATATAAAATTTTGTAACTTTTTCACCAAGTGTTCCATGTCTCCCACAGGTTTGCAGGAAGCGACTTCCCTCCTGAGATTGTGTTTAAAGTGTTCATCCACACCGGAGGTCAGGGGGTCAACTATGTCAGCGGCAAGAGGGTCATCAAACCTGCCACGAATGTAAGCAGTTTTCCAGCATTATATAATTATAACAGAGCCTTGCTATCTGTATTTGGTTATCAGACAGTTTAAGGTGAAAATACAGTGTTTCTTGCAGATTTTTTTACATATAGCAATATCTATATAAATATAGCAAGATTGCAAAATGAAAACTTAACACACTCACCAGAAGTTCAAAAATAACACAAAAGAATCCTTTAAAATTATCTTTTTATTTTTTTTATGCAACAATCATGATAGAAGTAAATAAAAACATCTACATCACATCACAACTCTTTTATATTTTATATAGTTTAGATATGTTATACTTTAAGTTTAACTAAACTTGTCAGAGTACATTTGTGTTTGTTACCACATCACCAGGCTGCAGCTGACTCGTGTCTTTTGATGGGCCACGGGAAGTTCTACGACCAGATGATCCGTGACGCGTGTCAGCACGAGAAGGATCGGGTTACCTAGCAACAATGGGTTACCTAGCAACAGTGTTCTGTAACTTACCATGGAGACTAGATTTAACACTTTGTTCTCTCTTTAGGCTGCGGCTGACTCGTGTCGGTTGATGGGTCACCGGAAGTTCTACGACCAGATGATCCGCGACGCGTGTCAGCACCATAGTCTTGTACATTTCTATGTTTCTGTCTTAACTTCTGGAGACTAAATCATAAATCATCATTATCTTCCTTAGGCTACGGCTGACTCGTGTCATCTGATGGGGCACCGGAAGTTCTAAAAGAATAACAAAAGACTACAACTTTAACTGTACCTGTGTACATTTGTTTGTTTCTTCCCACATCACCATGGAGACTAGATTAAACACTTTGTTCTCTCTTTAGGCTGCGGCTGACTCGTGTCGGTTGATGGGGCACCGGAAGTTCTACGACCAGATGAGAATACTGCACTTGTACACTAGTCTTGTACATTTCTGATTTCTTCTATCTTCCTTAGGCTGCGGCAGACTCGTGTCGGTTGATGGGTCACCGGAAGTTCTACGACCAGATGATCCGGGACGCGTGTCAGCACGAGAAGGATCGGGTTACAGACGAGATCGACATTATCACCATGAAGGACTACATGCAGTATCTCAGCAACATGGACGAAACTCCCGCCTACATGGGCGGGAAGGAGAACCTGTGGAGGAAACTGTCACTGGAAGGTTGGTTACCTAGCAACAGGGGGTTACGTAGCAACAGGGGGTTACCTAGCAACAGTGTTCTGTAACATGCAGTACCTCAGCAACATGGACGAAACTCCCGCGTACATGGGTGGCAAGGAGAACCTGTGGAGGAAACTGTCACTGGAAGGTTGGTTACCTAGTAACGGGGTTACTTAGCAACAGTAGGTAACCTAGCAACAGTGTTCTGTAACATGCAGTATCTCAGCAACATGGACGAAACTCCCGCCTACATGGGAGGCAAGGAGAACCTGTGGAGGAAACTCTCACTGGAAGGTGAGATGGGGTTGCCTAGCAACCTGCTGTTGCCTAGCAACAACAGGTTACCTAGCAACAACAACTCTACAGTGTCACTGACGAAAGGTAGTGGATGCTACCTGAAACGTCTGACCGTTTCCAAAATCATATCCAGTTGCTTGAGTAACTGTTTTTTGGCGTGTCTTATTACCTGGATGTCTAACCTTCACTGACATGTCAAACATTAAACTTCTCTATATCGATGAATGATCGATATTTCCCCCCCCCCCC